AAGCACAGAGACCCGTGAGGGTATTTTTAGTCTGTTTTAAGGATAGAGCCACACAGGACTGCTACAGGTGTAGGAAGGAGACCAGGCAGTTTAAAGCCACAGCAGCATTTTTTCAGCCTTCTCAGCATGGGCAGCCTATGGCATAGAGATGTTTTGTGGGGCATCTAGTCCACTGCTTAAAGCAGCATTTTAAAACCACCCCCTCCCTTCATCTTGCCTAAATACTCTCCCCAGGGCCACACCAAGAAGATGAATTTCTTCAAAGTAGGGAAGTACTTTACTCTGGTGGATATGCCAGGATACGGCTACCGTGCCCCGCAGGACTTTGTGGAGATGGTGGAGGCCTATCTGCAGGAACGGCACAGGTACGGGACTCAACTGCACCTGCACGGAGCAGTGAAAGCCAGACACCTAGATACAGTGTCATGGAATTGGGTGAAAAAATGCAGGAGGGGCAGCTGCTCCCAGTGGTGGTATTGATTAGTTCTGACGTAATGTCCCTGGGAACCTCTGTGGTGTCACTGACTCACGCTTAGAGAGATCAAATCAGCAGTTTGGTGCTGCTCCACACTGACCCTCAGCTCTTGTGCACAGTGTTTCTTGGCTCTTCCTGTCCCCACATCCCACGTTACTTGTTGTTGCTTATGCATCTGGAGGTGCCAAACGGTGGTGATTTGTGTTTCTTGTATTTCTGGCAGCTTGAAGAGGACTTTTCTGTTAGTTGACGGTGTAGTAGGACTCCAGAAAACAGATCATATTGCAGTAGAGATGCTGGAAGAGTTTGGGATTCCTTACGTGGTAGGTAATGCTTCGTTCTTGTGTTGGTCACAAGCTAGAGGCAGTCTGTAAAGGTGTGTACCCTCTCCCTGAGCTTGTGCAAGTTGTCCTACCTAAGCAGCAGCCTCCCTTCCACTTTACTGTCAATAAAATAGGCCTAAAATGTGTTGAGGGGGCAAGTGGGATTTAGGGGATTTTTTGCTTGATTTATTAAACAGACATTTCCTTTTCAGTGCTCAGCTTGAGGACTTTGAAAAGGTCCGGTCCTTATGCAGCCTATATAAGTGTTCTGGTGAACTGTATTACACCATTTTCTCCCTAGATGGGACCCGAACTGTGAGCCTGCCTTGCCAGATGTTCCAGGCTAGCAGCAAAATAATCTTCTTTTCCTCTTTTAACCCTCCTTTTCTGGATCCATGCAGATGGTGTTAACGAAAATTGACCGAGCTTCCAGGGGACTGTTGTTAAAGAACGTACTGGGGATCCAGGAGTTTGTAAAGGAGAACACTCAGGGATGCTTTCCTCAGCTATTCCTGGTCAGGTAAAGCTCTTCTCTGTTGCTGCTGTTTCCTTGCAGGCGATGCTTTGCAATAGGGGCAACTACCTGAAATGGGTCTGTCTGCTCTAGAGGTGGCACCTCTGTGCCCCAGGGATGGAGGGTGCTGGGCTGGCAGCTGGGGAAATGCCCCTTTCCCTCTTCCCCGTCCTCTGCAAGCGAGTGGAGTTCAGCTCGAGGCTGCTCTTCCTTTGGCCCCTCTCCGAAGGGAGCAGCAGTCCCCAAGCTGACACTGTGTGATGGGGCAGCTGAAGCGCTCGCTCTTACCAAGGCTGTACTGCACTGTGGGAAATGTTCTTCAATCCAGCCGGTGGCGGGTTTGCTTGTGTTACTCCAGGACACAGGAGCATCTGGCACTGAGCATCCACGCCTTTGTTTCCACAGTTCTCTCGAGTTTTCGGGGGTTCACTTGCTAAGGTGTTTTGTAGCCCACGTTACTGGAAACCTGCCTGCTGTAGAGGCAGCCGAAAACACTGGCTCCTGATCTGCTCAGCTCCCCCAGAACAAAAGGTACCAAAAACCACAGGTCTCATTTTTGTTGTAAATCACCTGAGGTACTAGAATTTATTTTTTTATAAATTTCTATAATTTTTTTGTTAAATTAGTACTTGTAAGGCTAAGCTTTTTGTTTAATAAATTAATCAGTTCAGGAAGTTTGCACTATAAATGAATCCAGGTTATTATAAAACTGTTGTATAAAACCTACATGACTGTGCTAAGGATAAAAGAAGCAAAAAGAACCTCCAAAGAGAAGCTGGGTTTCAATACAGCATTTCCTCGCTCTGAGGGAGCTGGGTCTCTTTAGCCTGGAGAAGAGGAGACTGAGGGGAGACCTAATTAATGTTTATAAAGATGTTAAGGGCAAATGCCATGAGGATGGAGCCAGGCTCTTCTCAGTGATGCCCAATGGTAGGACAAGGGGCGATGGGTGTGAGCTGGAACACAGGAGGTTCTGCTTAAACTTCAGAAGAAACTTCTTTACAGTGAGGGTGACAGAGCACTGGGACAGGCTGCCCAGGGAGGTTGTGGAGTCTCCTTCTCTGGAGACATTCAAGACCCGCCTGGATGCCTTCCTGTGTGATCTCATTTAGGTTCCTGCTCCGGCAGGGGGATTGGACTAGATGATCTTTCGAGGTCCCTTCCAATCCCCAACATTCTGTGATTCCAGCTAAACATTCAAAAAGCAAAAAGCCACCCTGCGTGCCTGAGCTCTGCTGTATTTTGAACTGAAGGATACGCAGGGGTTGACTTCTCTCAGCTTAGCTAGTGGGGCCAAAAACCAGCACCTGTGCAACCTGCCTGCGCTAAGGTGAGCTGGCGTGGAAACAGCCGGTGTGTTGTCTGTGAAGGTGTGTTTAGGAACTCTGGTGTATTTTACTGTTCTAACTTGTCTGCATTGTGCATTCAATAGGTGCAGCCTAACAGCCTCGCTTGCCTACATCGAGCTGTCCCTGTTCCACGTGGATGAGGGAAAGGACACATCTCCAATGGGATCTACTGTTTGGTCACTGTTGGCTTGAAACAGAGTGGAATAAAAGACTGACCTAGAGGAACTCTTCTTCTGCTCGTCAGTCAGTGCTGCATCTACCTTCGGTTTTAAATCCAGCGGGAAGTTCTGCAGCTGCACTCAGACAAGCTGCCAGCGATGAGATGCGCTGTCTGTTACCTGCAACCGTCCCACCCTGGCAGCTGAAGCACAACACTGCTGTCCCGTCCGCTGCTCAGTGCCTGTGCCAGATTCTGACACTCACGCTTGTCGTGTCTCAACGTTGCTGACTGTGGGTACGCGGTTGTCAAAGTCACTGGCAGTAAGTGTTGAACCCTCAAGAAAGGGCATTTCTTTTGTGAACCACCCTGAGGGTGAGAAGGTGGTATTTCTAGTGTTTGCTTTCACTGTGGAATTTCTTGTAACTCTGAGAGGAGCCAGGAGGTGAGGTCTGTGGTCAGCATACATGTAAGACGTGGGGGTGTGAGGAGTACAATAGAAAGGTGGGGAGCTGTAGCTTCCACACCTTAGCAGAGATCAAACCTCTAATTCTCTAATATTCTACCTCTAAGGCTGCTTGATCTGAGAGGGGGAGTTTAGTAGTATCTAGAGAGATGGAACAGGTTGAAGTGAACTCTTCAGGGATAATCTTTTCTTAGTATCTTGAAACCAGGATCTTCCAAAAGCATCAATCTTGTCAAGGCCGTCATTTCCAAGGCCTCAGCCTTGACTGAAGAGCCTCTGAAAATAAGCCCTGTATATGTGTAAAAGGGCACTTGTTTGTAGTCCCTCTTCAGAACAAGAACCCTTATAGTGCTAGGAAGTCTTTTATTAACCACTTAAATACATTAAGTATGTCTGGTAAATCTGTTTGTATAAAAAGTGCTTTGAAAGGGCAAGCAGAGTGTGAACTGGACCCCACAGTCCTTGTGTGTGTGTATGTGCAGTTGCCTTGAGGTGTCCTTAGTGGAAGCCACATGGAGCTAGGCCATGTTTTCTTACAGCTGTGCTAGAAACAGTAGGTCCAGTCTTATCCTGGAGAACCAGCTTTACCTCTGGCCATATCTGGGTTTTCTGCTGTGTTGGCCAGAAGATCTTCATTCACAAATGCTTCAGATGCTGGAATAATTCATTTTGCTCGGCCATCTGCAGGAGAGAACACCACAGTTTGTGACAAGCAAGAATCAGTGTCCCCGTGACAGGTAAGAAAGTAAATAAAATGAAGTCTTCTCCTTCACTTCAACACTGAAACTTACAGTCAAGCACCTTCCTGGGAACACGCTTTGAGTACAGACATGTCTGACACACTCACAGACTTCCTTGCCAAGCTCTTTGGGACCGGGCTGTGTTGCACGTTCTCAGGCCAGGGACACAAGCTCTCCCTTTCTTTTCCCCACCCGTTGATCAGCGGTGGGGCTGGCACCATACTGAAGCAGTGGAGATCATTTCAGTTTTAAATGCTTTTGATGTTTTAAATTGTGAGCAGTGCAAACACCTCACCGCAGGCACCCAGCAGGACCCTGTAAAGCTTTGCCTCTTCTGCACCTGCCTTCTACAGGAATTACGTTGTGTACAGGCTGCTATGGAAAAGGAATATCTGTCGCCTTGTGCATCCTCTCTGGTCTTTCAGCAGAGCATTCTCCCTTGTCTTCCTCTAATGGGTCTGGTCTGGTCTGTCATAACCCTGGCACTACAAAGCCAGTATTTTTGCAACAGTCCCCTAGAGTCACTATAGCATAGAAAGCGTTTCAGTAGAGCCCTCGACCAGATACTACGTCAGTAATTCTATTTAATATTAATGAAGGGACCTAAACAGGTTTCTTGGGTTATTTTAAAAAGCAGAGGTGGTTTTGGATTCAGATTTAGCCTCTCAGAGGCATTTACACAGAGAGACAACATGCCCTAAGGCAGAAAGAGCTCTACTTAGAGTCCCCTCGAAGGTGTCTTTGGTGTTGCCTTCTTTCACTCTTTATCTAGTCAGAAGTCTGGCTCTTTGGGCTCTGCCTTGTTTTCATCCTGTGCTCAGAGCTCCGATGTAGGAGTAGCTCTTTGGTACAGCATGGAACAAATTTTGGACACCAAACAGAACATACCAGGTGTTGAATACAGACAATTCATTTTGCATTAAGTGGGCTGGCTGCCCATGAGGAGCAAGATACTGCTGCCTCCAACTATCAAAGTTTCTGTTAAGAAAGGAAACAGAATTCTAGCAGCAGCTACTATTTCCAGTCTGTAGCACTGGCTAATCCTGCTCATGCCTGAGTTTACTTTAGTACCTGCTTGTCCCAGGTATACGATACTGTATCTTACAGAGAAATTGTAGGGTTTTTTCTGTGCAAGCAGGGACAAACCCAGGGAGACACACAGCCTCTTACGTCACTTTGCTGCTTAAGTGCTTTGGAAACAGAGTCAGACCAGAAGCCATTTACAGAGGAGGCAAAGGACAGAGGCCTAAGTTGTGGGGTTTGTCCCATGCTATAAACTGGGCACACAATGAAAGGAAAGGAACAGAGCTAGGAAAAGGCAAACTGATCTTACATCACATCCCAAAATAAATTGTTAATAAATAGTTAATAAATTGAGAGGCATGACTTACCTCTACAGGACTCTATGAGAAGCCAGCCACTCCACAATATGCTCTAGCCAGTCCTGTAACTTCCTTTCATTCTCATCTGATGCATTTACAGCCAGTTGGTACCTAAAAGCACCAGCAATAAAAAGTAAAGTCTGCATCCCCTCCCTGCCTGCACGAGTGATTCTGATACTGGGTTTGGTAACTGCACTTCGATCTGCTCCTATGAACTAGCACAGCATTGAGCTTGTATGCACAGCTGTGTTGTAACTGTCCAAGCACTTCTTAAATACTTGATCTCTAACTACTTCAGCTATAACTTGCTGACTTTTAATCATCTCTTGTATAAGCACAAAAAGCTTTCTTGCTCAATAAGGTAGTTACTGAGCAGCCATCAGCTGTTCAGTTAAACACGCACCAGATTTATTCAGGGAAGGTGATTCACATTTTTGTACTCTGATAATCTGCAATGATTTGTGCACCATGTGGCGCATTTACAAAGGTCATACGAGACAATAAATCCATCACTTGCACAGACATAGCTACTTAAGCCAGTATTTTCTTTGAAAAACATTGAGAATGATGGAGAACACATTATGCCAACAATAAATCTTGGCGCTCTTCTTGCTAATGCTGTTCCCTGAGAAGTTGCTCCGCGCTGGCTCTTGTGTGATGAATACAGCGCTGCGGGACTTGCCCTCGCCCCGAGGCAAGCACAGAGTGTGGTGTGTCGGGATGGCCCCAGCCCCGCGCTCCCTCAGGGAAGGCTCTTTAGACTCAGGCACCAAAAAGTGCTCTACTCACTTCTTTTGGTTTCATTCTTTGGGATCCTTCAGTGCTTCATCAAGACTCTCTCTGACTCTACTCTCCAGTATGTTTTTGTTTCTCCAGTGTCTTCACCTCAGCTGCACCTTTTCCTTCTTCAACTTCAGCTTCCAAGAGAAAAACCTTTGTTCAAACTTAACTTAGCAAGGCATTTATTACACTACAATAAGCCTCCTCCTGGAGACAAAATGGATTTTTCTTTATAAGGAAAAATTTCTTTAAGACAAAAAACTTTTCTTAAGGCAAAACCTGACAAGGCACAAGAAACTTGTATTTTTCAAGCATCAGCAAAACGAGCTTAACCACTCAGGGCAATTTACGAAGGATGTAAGCTGTGGTACAATCCTGCAGTGTTATTTATCGGGACTACACAAATGCACTCAGCTCAAGGCCCACATAGATTCAGTAGGACTTCAGAACCACAGCTGCCTTTGTGCTCAGACACGATAAAAAACATTGCACTGATACTTAAGAGATTCTTTTTCTTCCACAAAAATAGGTGTGGGAAACCTGGTACTCAGCCCCCCAGTTACAAAAGGCATTTCAGAAATTCTAGAAATCAATGATGGAGAAAATAAAATGAGTAATACCAATCCCTCTC